ATATTTATTAAAAATAATGCTCTACATTCATTCTATCAATGTCTGCTTGAGCAGAACAATCGTGTATATAGCAACTCAATCAAATAAATAATTATTTTATTTACTTAAAATATTCTGAACTNATTTAAATTAAGAAAATTAGCAAATAATTTAAATTAGTGAAATTAAAAAAATTATCAAAGAAACATTTCCAGCTTTTCTTTAAAATTCCCTGATTTTTCCAGGTTTTTATCCAAATTTCCCTGATATTTCCAGGTATTTTCCAGTATAAAAAAATTCCTTGATAATTCCAGGTTTTCAAGGTTTTCCAGGTGGGTGGCCACCCTGCATTAATATGCATTTGAAAACATTTGGGTATGTATTTTGTACATAAAAAAATATTTGTGATTTTTTTCAAGTCCTGGTAAATGCAATTAAAAATATTTAGTAAACAGTGTAAATAACATCGGTGGTACAAGTTAACTTTGGTAAATACATGAAAATCTTAAAAATTATGGAAATCTATTTATATCAACAAAATGCAGATAAAAGCTAGTTTTCAACATTCAGATCAAACTAATACTGTTATGTTTGCACCTTGATCTTAGATCAGAATAAAAGTATTCCTAAGAAGAAAAAAATTTCTTGTTTTTTTGGTAAACTATTTATGATATTTTAAACATGAGGGAAGGAATTATTTGAATTAGAGACCCTGTGATTTTCACATCAAATCCCATTGAATTTTAGGAGAATAACATTATACATTTGAAAAGTAACTCAAATGTCTAATATTCAGTAATAATATAAGATATTAAACTTCAAAAACAAATATAATTGAATTTGAATATTAAAAAAAAGAACTACTAATATAACTAAAAGGAATTTATTCTTAACATTGCTTAAAAACTAATCTAATGAAAACAGTAAGGAAAAAAAACAAATCACTGCTCAGCTTTAAAAAAAAAAAAAAAAACTAGTCATTCATATGATAAAATCATAATTTGAAAATGCATGCTTCGTTAAACATATATTAACTTACATAAAATTATGTTTCTAAAATACAAACTAACCATTGGGTCAAAAGTACAATTATCCTATCATAAGGTCCTGAATTTTCAGATTCTATCAAGAAGAAAAAAATTATATCTAATAGTTTTGCTTAATTAACATTTGAAGTTTCAACCACAAACTTGTTTTTTGAATTTTAAATACTAGATTTGTACTTTATGCTTTGTTCAAAAAATGATTTTCACATTTAGTTTTTAGTCTTCATTTTTGAACAATATATAAAGGCAAAAATGCATTATTAACAAAGAATAATATTAAGAAGAGATGATATATCCATGTTGCATGTTAAACTCGTAAAACTTCAACCAACTCAAACAGTTAAACTATCAATTATATTTTCTTCAACGCTAAGCAAGATTCTATAAATCATTAATTAGCTTTTTAATTTACAATTTCAAATATTAGTTTTCAACATGTTTAAAATTAAACACAGAAAAACATAAACCAATAAAAACTAACATGATTAAGAAAAATTTCTATTTCAAAATAAAAAGCACTAAACCCAAATTAAATACTGTTAACAAACCTGACTAACTTAAAATAAATCTAATTGACCATCTGGTTAGCTCACGCAACAAAACAAAACAAATGGCAAACACAAGACCATGCCATGCAAAGTCACAATGTTTTTTTTTCCCACATTAAATCAGAAAAAAAAAATACTCAAATGAAAACACAGGTGACAAATTTCTTACCACTATAGCCGTAAGGGATGTGATAGCCTGGCTCTAAAAACGGTATTCCACAGTCATCAAAGGCAAAATCCAGGTGTTGGGCCATGAAAACCAAGACAGGCTGTGGTTGAGAACCACAGCAACCGACAGCGGGAGAGGATCTGCTTTTCCCGAAGCCCAGAAGCTACGGTTCTGTAGGATTTCGGTCTTTATCGACTGGTGGCAGCTCGCCAATCGCAAAGCCTGGAATGGGCGGGTGGGAAGAGACAGCAGTACCCCCGCCAGGACCTACCACCCACCTACCGAAAATCTTTTCGTAAGGTACGTATCCCTCCAAAGAGTTCCCAATTAATTATGAGAAGACACCTGTAGGTCCAACATGAATTTCCCACAGATCAATCTCTGGCACTATGCAGTTGCATTGGATTGGCTGTATGATAATTCACATACACATGCATGCATACCCCCCCCCAAAGAGGGGGATTCGAGTAGGATGAGATTCTATATTTACAGCCACAAATGGGAGGAGTAAGTCTATGGGAATTTCACAGATGGTGTAACTGCTGCCTCATGCGAGCTTCTTGCTTTTAGTCTCCTGCCACTAAAATCAATGATCTCTTAGTTCAGGAGTGGTTTTATATATTCAATTTGTTAAAAATAATGTGCTTGATCCTGATATTTTATTTAAGAGTGATGCTGCACTTTATTAAGCTGCTTTTGATGTTGGAGGAGGTATTACATTTAATATGACTTAATTTTTTTTTTTTTTTTTTAATCAAGCTTAATACATAGCACAGCTATTAGATCTAATATGTTGTTTTGCCTTTAAGTAATGATGGATTAATAGAAAAAAAATAATTGTGAATTAGAAGCTTTTTTCCCCCCTTTACCTTAAATTTTTTTAATTAATTATTTATCTTAGAGTGATTCAACAATATAAGAAAACCACAATTTGTTTCTGAATTTAACAAAAATTTCAAAAGATTTATTTATTTATTTTTTAAAAATTTCTTAACTTTGAAAAATGATTTTCAGAAAAATAACTAATGATATTTGAGATCTTTTATCTAGAAAATTGAGTTGAATTTAGGACTTTTCATTAAAAATGGCTCTTTGCATTTTCTCTTTATTATTTTCATTATTTCATTATTTGTTTTCTACTAGAACACATAAAAAAAATGCTACTATGCCAAAGATAACGTGGCAAAATAATATTAATATTTAATAGAGGCTTGAGAAGGGAGCATTATTGGCAAATTTAGAAGAGTTACAGTTAGAGGTATACCAGGTATTCAACCATATTTTCATTACCTCAGCTTACTACCTGATACTAGGCTACTACAAAAAAAGCTAACTGGATACTAGGCTACTTTTACTGTGTATTCAGCGCCACTCATTCATATTTGACACAATCATATTTAACTTAAAAATTATAGTAACTTAACTATAGTAATTATAGTTACTATAGTATTAACTATAGTAACTTAAAAATTATTATAGTACTTAACTATAGTAATTATAGTTAGTATAGTATTAACTATAGTAACTTAAAAATTATTATAGTACTTAACTATAGTAATTATAGTTAGTATAGTATTAACTATAGTAACTTAAAAATTATTATAGTACTTAACTATAGTAATTATAGTTACTATAGTATTAACTATAGTAACTTAAAAAGTATTTATGTACACAATGGAAATTTAAGTATTCATAACGTTTCTGATAATTAAGCTGAAATAAGTGTTCAGGTATGACATATTTTACTTTTATGCAGAATTCTAATTCAGGGAAAGCCTTGGTAAAATGGGTACCTTCAGAACAGAGAAATATATTTGCTAAAAGAAGGACATGAAAAAATTCAGAAATCTAACGCTAAAAACTATTTTAACTACTAAATTGATATGATAGTTAAATAAATATACAATGAGAAATAAGGAATTATATAGATATTTTATTTGCTTTCAGTAAACTTGTAAATGTCAATCGATATTTTTATTATTTGGGTTTCTAAGCTTAGCATTTTACTAAACTATAATGGACAACAGAATATGAATATTTTCTGACAAATGACAAAAAATTATTTTATTGATTTAACATAATTTGATAAAAATTTTGAGGATAAATCTTATTTTAAAAACACAAAAACCTTTTTATTTTTACATAACTTTGAAAAACTCACTAGGAAAAATTTTATTACATCTTTAGCATATTATGATTTACATATAAGCATATTATGATAATATTGAAGAGAAATATGTACAAATAAAATTGGTCAACCTTAACTTTAAACTTAATTTATACTGGAAAACCTGTTTCTTATTTGTTATAGCTCAATAAATGAAATTTCTAACTAATCTGGTAAAAGTTCTCTCATCATTGGGTAGCCCAGAGGAGGTTTTCAAGATTTTTTTTTTCTCTGTGTGAAGCAAATATGCATCAGTTTCATGGATAAAGCTATTAATGATTTTAATTCAGAGTTTAATAGCATAAGATCAAAAATCAAATCATTTTGCCCCAAACCCACACAAGATTATACACTAAAGAAAAAAAAATGAACATTGTGATAGATTGTGTATTCAAGATAATATATTCAAACAATGTTATGAACTATAACAAAAGGATCACAATTACAAAAGGGAAAATGAGAAAACAATATAAGAAAGCAGGAGCATAAGGGCTTCGCGGGGGATCATAGAACTTGTCTTTACTTCAAGAAGATTAAACCTTTAAAGATTAACCTTCTACATATGCTTTTCGTGATATCACCTCAACTTTCATAAATGGAAAGAAAAAAATAACTCAAATTGGTTTTTTCTAAAAAATCAATTTTTTTTCACTAGTAACCACAAAAGATTAATAAAAAATTAAAAGAATTCTCATAGTCATTGCCATTTCTTACACAAAAATATAAATTTAAAAATAATGACAGCCCTTTATCACATATTTTTAGAATCTTTGTCCAAAATGATGACAAAAACATTGAGGTGCATAAAATGATATTGAAACAAGAAAACACACACACATGAACCGTTATTGAAATTTCAAAAGTCAGAAGAACGAATTTACAAAACCTGTTTGAGTGCTGCAAGAAACTTGAAGATGCTTCTAATTATCTTTCAATTCCTCATTTTATCCAACCACAATCAAACAGGTTTTGATGATTTCAATTAACAAGAATAACAAAAATATAAGTTAAAGGTGATAATTTAAAAAACAAATTTATAATTTAAAATATGATTAAAAAATTTTTTAAAAAAAAGACTAAGACACACTTACATTTCTGATTATACTCAGGACGCATAGAATCCATGCCATTTTCAAATCCTGAGCGATTGTTGAAATTAGGAAAAGCACCAGTACTGTTATCTCTCGCAACATTCATGTATCCCATTGGTCCATATCTATTGGATGGCTTAGGACTAGACAGGTCAACTGGATGACTGTCAATGACATTCTCTGAAGGACGGTCTCGAGATGGGGAGCACAAATGGGAGTTCTGCATTCCATTTCGATTCACCTCATTGAGCTGGACATGACCCAGCTGTTGGTGCTGAGCCCTATTGTTGACATTGAGGTCTGTATATGGGTTAGGATTTTGAAGGTTTGCCTATAAAAGCAATAAAGATAAGTGTCATCATAACATGGGTCATTTCGGCTTATTGCAAACATTTGCTTATTTCAACAGCATTTGCTTATCGCATTTTGGTATACGCATTATTTCTCAACTGCCATTCCACATTCCACAAAAGCAATAAAGTTAAGTGTCATAACATGGGTCATTTTCGGTTGAAATAAGCAAATGTTTGCAATAGCAAACATTTGCTTATTTCAACCCCATTTGCTTATTGCATTTTGGTAAATGCAGTAATTCTCAACTGCCGTTCCATGAAATAATCTTTGTATTACAATTAATATAAAATTTATATTATAAATTTTATTTATATTGAAATAGGCTTGGATTCAAAATAATTTTTATTGAAGAAAGTGTATGATCAGAAACAAACTGAACAAAAATTGTGTAAGAGCCACAATTTTGAATATGCAAAAAATACGTCGAAAATCAAACAACTAACCTTATTGGTCAGCGATAAAACAATGAAACGTTAAAACTGGTCCTTCGAGTAAATATGTAAATCAGGTAGAAAAATGCAGTCTTAACAGAAACATTTTTAAAAAAATAAGAGGAAAGATTTGAAAAAAAAAATATTTTATTGTAAAAAGATTTGGGAAAGAAAAAAAAAGTTGGTGATGCCTTAGCATCATTATTTGAACTCCTTAAAAGACATAGTTTTTATGTTAGCCTTTATTTACTTTTTTTTCCACAAAAACAAGACCTTTTTTGTATTAACCATATAATATACCAAAATAATAATAACAGACTTTTCACAAAAAGTTTGCAGAGACCACTGGTTTCTGTTTTACAAAACAAGTACCCTAATTTCACAAGTCTACAAAATTATAAGTAGATTTTTCACAATTTCACAAAACCAACTTTCACGAAACATCTGGTATATCTCAGTCACATGATCATCACTCAATATTTGGGGCTAATTTTTTAAGTCATTTTTGTATTAACAGAGGTCTATCTGGGCATTTTTTCAGGTTCTGTTTTTATGAAAAAATTAATCCTAATGTGGTAAACCTAAAATAAGCTTTAAATCCATGTATTTTTTTTTTCGTTTTCGTGAATTTATGCAATTTATTTATGATTAAATAAGATTCAATAAAAATAATAAAATGATGCCTTTCAAGGAACTGTAATTTTTCAATAAAAAATAAACACAAGATGATGCCTAACACAGTAAAAGTACAATAAAAATCTGAAGATATACAATTAAGCCTTGATATTACAAACTCTAAAAATTTTATGAGATCGAAAATAGAACATTTTAATTGAATATTTTTTTTACTATTTAGTCACCTTCAAAAACATTTAACAGTGTCAATATATTAGCTTTTAATTTGACTTTCAGTTTTGCTCAGGTTAAGTTCTTTTGTTTGGTCATCTTCCCTTTATGATTTATCTCTAAGATGCTTTAATCTCTTTCAATATTTCTGATTCTTCACAATCATCACATACTGAAACATTATAGTAACTACCTTTCTCATAAATATCAGGTTCTTTTGGATTCATTAAATTAACAAGTTCTTTCCTATTTTATCTACTTCTTTAGGAATAGATAATTCAGGAATTTTTTTTAAACATGATTATTTCTTCCTTATCAGAGTTTCAAGAAGATAAATTTTAAAAAGCTTTTAGGAATTAGAATTAAAAAAAAAAAAATTTTTAATTCTTCAGGAACAATTTTCGGGGATGAAAAATACTTCGTGAAACCAAGGGTGATTCAATAGTGTACTGGGTTAAGAAGAAAGGCATCCTGTATTAGGACATAGCAAATGCAGAGTTAGGATTTTTAATGGGACATCAAAAAATTCGCATTTTCAAAGTTAGTGATATAGGGCTCAAGTGTTTAAATTTTACACTATAATTAATATTTAATGAGTGTTTCTCAAAGCTCCTTCGCCTAAGAAAATAGAAGAAGAATAGTTTAAATGTTTCTTCTGATTTATCACATGAGAATATTTAGGAATTTTTAAAACCAATAAAAGGAAATAAAATTCAAAAAGTATATTACACCTAGGAAATTTAAATTACAACTTAATAGTTTAATCAATCTTTTCTGTTTTGAAATTGACATTAGTTGGAGATGAATATAAAAAATAAAAATATGATCTGATATAGTTACAAAAAAGGATTACAAATTTTTAAAAAATTCATATCAAATATGAAATATTTTAGAATTATTTAAAATAAAGTTTTCAACAAGAAAAAATCAGAAAAGTGTTGAAAAGAGGGTTTTAAATTAAATAGCATATTTTTCATATTTTTTTATACATTTCATTATATCAGAGGTCCCCAACCCTATGCCCGCGGGTACCATGGCGCCCGTCGATCGATCTAGGTGCGCCCGCTGCTCAACGATAACATATTTCAGTTTTCCATTTTCCCAATAAATGCTATGTAAATACATACTGAAGTACGCTGGCTCAGTAAAGGTAAAGTACTTGAATAGATTTCTACATTTAATTGGAGAAATAAAAAATTATCTTGCAACCAAAAATCAAACATTTTTAGAACTGAGAGATCCTCTTTGGCTAGCAGATTTGTCTTTCATAACGGACATAAGGGAAAAACTAAATTATTTAAACTTGGAGCTGCAGGGAAAGGACAAACATAAAGCAAAAATGATAGAGGCTGTTAACTCGTTCAGAGCTAAGCTAGTTTTGTGGATATCACATTTGAAAATGAAGTCTCTTTTGCATTTTCCAAACATGAAAAAATGGATAGGTGACAGTGAAATTGACATTTATAATCAACCTCCAATTGCTTAAAGATCAATTTAATAGCAGCAATTTAATATCATCGAGCCTTTGATAACTTTTTTGTTAATCCTTTTACGAACCAAATAAACGTAATAGCAACATACATTTCAGAATTTCTTCAAGTAAGGCGAGAAGAATTGGATATATAAATTTTGGATCTCCATTGGATGACATTATCTCAAAACTATTATATCACATGAGAAATTCTGGAATATATTTGAAGGACTAAATTCCATTCTTAAAAAGAGCATTATATTCTCCCAATTATGTAGAGCTGGTCAGCGAAATGCCATGCGAAACACCTCATGCCACTGTATTTTATAAATAATTTCTATACTTCGCATGTTTTGAAAACAATTTAGTAATCATTTATTTTACACAAAAATATTAATTGCATTCATATGTTAAATTAATTTTTGAAATTTAATTTTTTGTGCACTATATGCAGTGTGTATTATTACCTATGTCTACCAACTATAAATTTATCTTGAAAAAATAAATGGTGCCCGCCATTCGACCGATATTCTGGTATTTGCTCTTAGGTACAAAAAGGTTGGGGACCACTGCATTATATAATTACATTGGTTTTTTCAAATCTGAACAGGCTGAGTTTTCAGCAACTTCTTCTAAACTAAAAACCTGGCAAAATCCAGTATTTTATTGGATTTTTCGTGCCACTGTTCTTATTTTACCTGACTAGTAATACTGTAGGAAGATGCATTTTGAGAGGGTGTACTACTCGCAGAGCTGTAAGCAGTAGTATAAGGAGCCAAAGACATACTGGCTGTCACAAAACTTTGATCCTCAAAGTTAGAGTATTCCTGTGCAGGTTGAAACCCATGGTTCACCTGAAATAACAATTTTTTTAACAATTAATACATAATACCATACTGTAGAAATAAAATACATCACTAAGGCTAAAGAAAAAAGACAAACAAGGTTAAAATGATTTTTTTTTTTAACTTTACTTTCATGTTTTTTTTTATATCAATTATTATTTGCGGAGTGTAAATAATATAAAAAAAGACAAAAAGACAATTGTTTTTAAAACTTTGAGACAGATAATGAAATAAAATAGTTTTGATCATTTTATTACGTTTTTGAAGTACTTTATGAATTGAATTTAAATAATAAAATAAAAATAAATGGCTGCTTCAAACCTTTTAATCTCAAGGTTTATTTATACATGTGCAGGTTAAAACCTATATTTCCTCTTAAAAATAAATTTCTGCTTTCAATTTTTTTAAAAAAAATAATAAATTATAATGTTAGAGTAACAAACTTCAGTACAGACTTAGATAAAATGAAAAACTTTCTGTTAACGCGAAATCTGAATATAAAAACTTTCTGCATGCATGCATTGATTAACTCTTGTAACTAGTTTCAATCCTTTTGTCGCCACCTCATTTTGATGAAATTTGTTAGAAAATCAGATTTTTTTTTTTTAAATGTTTTATTTTTATAGAACTGTTTATTGATTCATACCATATGGATGAATTTGGCAAAAAACCAAGATAGCTGAAAATAGAAATCCAAAAATTTTAGGTGCAAAAACACTTTTTAAACACTGAAAAATACTTGAAATTTGAGCAAGAAAAAGTATCAATACAAATCTCAATGTTTGATTTTAAAATCACGTGAATACGAATTCCTATGCATAATTTTTAAGTCACTTGAACATGAATCATAACAAGGTGGAAACTTAAATTAAATAAACAACCAATCAATTATTCAATATTTTTTTAAAAAATCATTTTATGATGAAAGTACATTGACGCAGAAAGACTTTGAAAAACAGATATTTCATTAGAATATTCAATGTCTCCATTCAAAGTCTTGATTTTTCAGAATCCCTCAATTTTTAACGGTAAGATTCATGAAAAGAGTTCTTTAACAATTCACATATTTTAAAGTTGTAATGAATACATTATATATATTTTTTTTTCTCTTTTTTTTATTTCCCCTCGTCAAATATTTTTAAATTAAATTTTAAAGTATGTTAAACTAAATTTTGTCATATTTTTATATTATCTAATAAAAAAATTTAAAAAATTCAAAAATGATTATTACATTAAGATTATCAATCAATATTGATCACTGACTCATTAGGCTTGAGGAAAAAGTGACAACTATGTCATAAGAGTCTACAGGCCACCAGCTACGAACTGAAAATGTAAACTTTCAGGTCTAGCAGTGGGTGCACAATGCTAGCTCTATTGCTGTATTATCAGTTAGTCACTAAATCAATAAATTGGCAATTGTGGAGCATTAACCAGTAACCACTAACTCACTCAGTAATTTACTTGAAATATGCTATATTTTCAATAAATGAACATATAACTATCATTATTGATCAATAACATTAATTGATAATATTATCAATCGCTAGCTGTAAATACAGTGAATTCGCGATAACTCGAATCTGATAGGACTGACGAAAAACTTCGACATATCGGAAGTTCGACTTATCGTTTGTTTANATTTAAAAAATTCAAAAATGATTATTACATTAAGATGATCAATCAATATTGATCACTGACTCATTTGAATTGAGGAAAAAGTGACAACTATGTTATAAGAGTCTACAGGCCACCAGCTACAAACTGAAAATTTAAACTTACAGGTCTAGCAGTGGGTGCACAATGCTAGTTTTATTGCTGTATTATCAGTTGGTCACTAAATCCATAAATTGGCAATTGTGGAGCATTAACCAGTAACCACTATAACTCACTCAGTAATTTACTTGAAATATGCTATATTTTCAATAAATCAACATATAACTATCCTTATCGATCAATAACATTAATTGATAATAGTATTATTAATTGCTAGCTGTAAATATTACTTAACTAGAAATAACATAACTTTCTGTTCATTTTAAATCAAACCTGTCATTGTAATAAGCACTGTTTTACAGATTTGAAACATTTTTGATTCCAAACTTAAGTAACTTTTCCCCCCAATACATCCTAAAATATTTTATTTTGAGGACTGATTTGCCAGTTATCTATTGCAGAATTGCATAAAATAGAACAAGATGTTTTTTCAAATAAAAAAGAAATACAGATATATGTTCTCATACATTTCACATTTGCGTAGTAGAATATAATCAAAACAAAACTAATTTTCCAAACATTAGAGTCAATCGATGTAATAAAAAACTAACAACATGTGTTTATTTGAATTTTAAAGCGGAAATTTATCTATTTAAAAATCTTACTTTCTGGGAATCTGTTTCCAAAGTTAAAAATAAATGTTTATTTAAAACAAAAATTTTTTTAAAAATATGAGATAATTTTTGTGAAAATAAACAAAAAGATTAAAAATTTAAATCAAACAATTGATGAACTTTTCCCTCAAATTTGTAAAGAAATTATGAGTAATAACTTTTTACTTTTGTTTTTTGAAATGAATATAAATGTTTAATTATGTATGACAGGCTTTTCATTTTAAACATACTAAAAAACAAGTTTAACTAGATTAAGAAAAAACACTAAAAACTTGTTTTTAAAAATGTACTTTAGAATTGATAAAATTTAAGAATTCTGCAATGCAAAAAAATTATCAATATAAATTATAAGTTTCAGATTTGAAATCAAAACAAAAGTGAAGAACTTGATATTTAGGCTTTTTGTGAAACAACTTTTTTTTTCCTTGAAAATCACTTTACTGAAGAGTAAATTTATACTTACAGTTTTAACAGTAAAATATTTTAAGATGAAATTCATTTTAATATCAAGAAGTGTGAGTAAAATTTTTATAAGTGCACAAAAATCATAACTAGGTATGAATTAAATAATCTCAAAATTAAATAAATTTAAATAATTCAATATTGCAATTAAATTGAACAAATTTAGAATTCTCTAAAAGTAAAATGTAATTAAGTCTTTCTTAAAACTGATTAGCTTACACTTCATACCAATATTTAAACACTGTAACAAATGTTTGACTAAATAGTAATTTGGCTGAAGATAAAATGGTATTTATAGACATTAAAATAAAGTCAAGTACAATAAAAAAAAAGAAAAAAAATTATTAAATGATAGGCACATAGGAATGATAAAAATAGAAATAGCATAGAAATAGGCATAGGAATGATAAAAAAAAAAAAAAATTATAAACAAATGAAGAACTTCAACAAGTAAAAAATAACTAAAACTTAAAACCAATATTTATTCATTCTAACAAATATCTGATTAGATAGTAAATTGGTTAAAGATAAAATATTATTTTTAGACATTTTTTATTTAATAAGTGAAAGCTAAAATACTCTATTTATAGACATTAAAATAATCTTAAAATAACAATAATAATAATAGATTGATCATTGATAATATTTTCAGACACTGACTCATATCATATTTCAATACAACTAGAGAAAAAATTCAAGAATTTATATTTAATTTCAGGAGTTCTTGAGGTGCTAAAAAAAAAGGTTGCAATGAAAATTACAACTTTGATTTTTCATTTAAATCTGTTTATCAATAAGATAACACAGTAATTATTNTCAGCTAAAAAGCGGAAAAATCTCATCCCTGTTTAAATCTGTTTATCAATTAGGTAACACAGTAATTATTTTGATCATTTATGTCAGAAGGGTTAAATGAACTAGAATATGTTAAGTAATTTAGAAATATATCAGAGAAAAAAAGGCTTTAGTTTGTTTAGAAACAAACAAACAAAAAATTTTTTAGAAAATAGCTTCTTTTTCTTTTGTTAATCCATTTTTGTATCTTAATGTAAGAACATACAGGCTTCATAGAGGGCTAAGGAAAAAATTTGATAACATTTTTCAGATAAATCAGGACAAAACTAAGACATTTTTTAGAACAGTTTTTAGAATAGAATAATATGTACCTTCTACTTTTAAAAAAGGCAAACAAAAATGGATAATTTGCTTCACTAATTGTAAGAAAAGCAAATTTTACCACAAAAGAATAATAAAACATACTATTTCTAATTTTAGAATATTTGTTTAGAACAGAAAGTTTTAAGAGATTGTCATAATATCAATACTGAAAAATTAATAATTTAGTTTCAAATCAACAGATGGAAAAATTTTACAACACTACTGCATTGAAAAAAAAATAACCAGTACCAATTAATTCACACACTATTATATCAATATATAATTAAAATTAGTAATTTTGTTCAAAATTCTCCTCAAATAATTTTAAATTTGATGAAATTGATTGATTACATCAAGTATAGCTTCCCTAATCGTAAAATGAAAATGACGCACTGAATGTGTCACTTAACATTTTTGTATAAAAAATTTTCAGGGGATTACCTCTCAATTCATTTCAAAATTTCATGATAGGATAACTGTATTGTTGATTGGAATCAATCTCTTAAAATCGCAAATTCTTTTTAAAAAATCCTCATTTATATTCTTAGAAATTGGGATGTTATGAACACACACAAAACTTAGGAATGTTAGGACAAAAAGCTAAAAACCAAGACAAATATTTTTTTTTTAATCAAGAAAATCAGGAATATCAAAACCACCACAAACCCTGAACTTGAAGTAAATTTGAATAAATCGATTTTAGTATGTTTGAAAAAAATTGCCTATAATAACTTTTACAAATGTTAACCATCTTACATCAAGACATTAAAAAAATGTTCTAACTAGCTGGAAAAACTAGTGTTTTATCGTATACTGTTCTAACTAAGAGAAACTAGTGTTCCACAGTATACTGTTCGAATTAACAAGAGAAACTAGTGTTCCACAGTATACTGTTCTAAGTAACAAGAGAAACTAATGTTCCATAGTATACTGTTCTAAGTAACAAGAGAAACTAATGTTCCATAGTATACTGTTTTAAGTAACAAGAGAAACTAGTGTTCCATAGTATACTGTTCTAAGTAACAAGAGAAACTAATGTTCCATAGTATACTAACAGACCACAATGAAACAATTTTAAGCCTTAAGAAATTAAGAATTTTTATTACAGAATATGTTCTTTCCCTGATCAATTTTAATTAAAAACAAGTGACAGCTGACTGACAATGAAATCAATATAGAACTAAGATAGTTACATATGCATTAAATCACAAAATATTTTAAAGAAGAAAGACATGCAACCAACTGCAATACAAACATGCAAAACAGACATACAATTCTAATTACATCAAAAAAATATATGCAAAATATTTAATTTTCATAAAAATTAATTCGTTCTAACAAGATAACTTAATAGTTTCAAGTTTTTGTATTAATTTAGCATGTTTAGAAAATTTCAAATGAGCTATATATCTAATTCATAAATATTAGCTATATAGCTAGCTTGAAATTTGATAATAATATGAATTACATAAAAATATGAAAATATAGCTAATATGAGATTTAAAAATTATAATTTTTTTCTACAAATAAATCTTTCTGTATTATTACTTACTTCAAAAGTAAAAACAAATTTTAAAAAAAAGTAGAAGAAAAATAATTTACAAAGAAAAAAAAATAATAAGACCTCAAAATAAAATTCTTCCCACATATTTCAACGCTAACTCGTAGACATTTCACCGGCCACATGTAGTATGTTTTTCAACAAAGTTTGGTTTGACAAGTTTTCAACTGTCTAGTTTTGCTCAAATTAAGTCCCGCTAACACAGCCAATAATATATTTCATTCTTTATCCTGTACACACGACATGGTTGATACCCGAATTAAAAATTTGAATTCCCTTTGATGCTTCCTCAAATAAAAATTTCTGCTGTTCTCAGTAAATCACACTTTTAATATCATTCGATTCTGAGTAAAACAATTCACTAGATTCATTACTTAGTGTAGACATGGTGTACGTACAAAACTGTACTTAATATAAAAACTTTTCAATTATTATCTCTATTGATTTCGTTTTGATCTCATTCGCACGCTTTCTAACAACTACGGTACTTTCGTAGTATCAAAAATTAACTTTTCTAGGTCTAGCTAAGATAATTTGTTAATATTTTAACGAATTAGAATTAAAACGAAGCTTTTCACTACTTCGTATAAACAATTTAAATACATACATATAGTTTTTTTTTTTTTTTTTAATACCAACCTAAGTTAATTCCGTCTTGCTGAGCTTTATTTCTTTCAAAAAAATACGTTAGTAAAAATTAGAGATAAAAATAAATAAATAAAAAAAACTTAAGTCAGATAAAATTACAAACGACTTGGCGAATTTTTGGAATATTTTTATACTTTTCTTTTGGAATAAAAATAAAATAAGGCATACTTAGATAATTTTTGAGAAACAAGATCATTGTACTGCAATAAATAAATTGCACGTCGCATAAAATTTAAAGACTCTCATTAGCATGTATAGTTTTTGAAATGAATATTTTAGATGGTCCATTTGCGTGATTCAAATTAGATTGCGTGTGATTAGATTTTTTTAATGATAATAAAGTAAATTTGAAACAAAAATTACAATACAAAGAATTAGAGTGAATTATGCTATTTTATCACAAATATACAGAGCAAAACATGAAACTGAAAATCGAAATTTCGATATCGTCCCTTCACATCGATTGCTGATGCAGAGGACCACCATTGATGAAATTATTTTATGCTAGTCCAAGTAAATTTTTAGTCTAAATGAACGGACTACTGCATTATTGTTATAAAATGGGAGGGGGCGGTTCGAATAAGCATGTTTTTCTTAACTTTTTCCTTTTCGGCTGGTCAACAAAAATAAGCAAATCAACCCCCTCCCCCCATGCTACGTAAGGAAATCGCAACCTACCCCTTCCGGGATTCTGCTTTAATTTTGAATCCCAATAATATGATTAAATTCAAATAAAAGATAAAACTTTGCATAAAGTACAAATTAAGTTGCGGTTTATTTTACAAAATTTTAAAAAGAATATTCTATAGGAATTAATTAATCCTTTGTGCCTTCCTTCTATGTTTAAAACTCTTAAAGAAAATTTTCTAACTTCCTCTCCCCAAATTCAACTTACAATCCAAATGTGCAATTTTTCCACGAATGATTTATTTTTATATTTTTGTTTAAATTGTTGCTTTTTAAGAACATTTTGTAAATAAGGGGTTCTTACAGTCTTGCATAAACATTGCTGATACCCTTCCTCCCACCCTTGTCAGAGAAAAGTAACCAAATCATAGCCCCTCCCCAGGTGCTTAGCAATATTTAAAGTCAATAATAATAACATTACCAAGAGTATAAAATTGGAAGGAAAAAAATTACAATTATTTTTTTAAAAATGCAGAGAGGCCCACTTGCTCCGGACAGTGGATAGCTATTTTCAAGTGGTAGTCTTTTAATGCGTGATTCTTGATTTAAAAATTCGATTTATATGGTTTTTAACTCACCACTACATCTAAAAAAATTCGAAGGGTTATATGATACGCCACTTTGTTGCAATAACGCAGTGTTGAGCTTTTTAAGAAAATTAACAAAGATAAAATTAACCGAAATTCTGCACACTTTTCTTTGCAGGTCTCTAGCGTTATTTAAAATATTTTGCCGTATCCGGAGCAGTTGACATCTCAGAAAATGCGTCGAAGTTTGTAAGAATTTAAACTAGATACTTTTAAATTTGAAACTTCACGGAAATAAGAGCACAGTAAATTAAATAAACAATGGTAATTACAATAAAATTCGAATTAAATAGCAATTATTTATTAAATTATAATAAAAAAAGAGCTTTTTGACATAACATTTTAAAACAAAGAGAAAACGCTTTAAATTCACCTCTAGCGTATAAATTCCATTTATAATTCCACATAAATCTAGAAAAATTTACACTACACCACCCACCAAGCAAACAAATGGTGGACAAACTATTACCCAGACCATACCCAGACGAAGACATTTTATAAACTGTACTTTGTTTTTGTGTTAAAAAAAAATAACTATATTGAGTGTTCAAAGGTAAAATAAAATGTGTACTTTATTTAATAACAAAACATTTAAAAATTAAAATTAGCAATTTAAAAAATTTAAGGCAATCAAAACACGGGCACAATAAATATAACTAACAGCAGGAATTATAATAGCATTAGAAAATTTAATATTATTTGCTAAAATGTTAAAAATCATCAAATTTCAAATTTTTTGACATTAAGTTTATTTTTAAAAACAAAGAGAAAAAGTTTTAAATTCACCTCTCGCATGTAAATTTCAGTCATAACTCATCATTTTAATCCGCATAAATCTAGGAAAATTCACACTCCCAGCACACAGTGCGCGACATCCACCAGGTAAACAAATAAACAGTAAACAAACTATTCCATGTCTCCGGGTAAACTTTCAGACGATGATAGAAGAGTTATCCAATAATCGATAGAATTCGATACAGAAAACGAGTTTTCACCCATGTTACGTGAAAATTTTCACTTTTTCATCTTGTTCTGTTTGACGGAGATCGTCTGTTTTAAAAAAAATGCGATTGACGGCAGAGAGAACACACCAAACGAACTACAACGCGAATAACTGTTTCAATGATCAAATGAAAAGGTGGCCTGGGGCCAGAACTTCCGTGGGAACCGCCATCAGGCAAAAAGAACGTGAGAACAATAGCCACTCAGAGGGGGTTCTGACCCCTCGCTCTCGACCCCGCCTTTCAGCTATGCTATCATATTATGCCGGATTTTTTATTAATAAACTATGCTTGTTATTTTTTAAAAGGGGTGCTTCCTGGGATAAATTGGGTATTGATTTAAAGTGTAGCATTTAAAGATGAAAACGATTTCGCAGACGATATGACGGGTTGATTCGGGAGCAAACTACACGGTATCCCCGAATCAGTTTCTGAACATACGTAATAAGAACTGACCAGAGGTTATTCATGGGTGCTTTGTGAAATCTTACGAGTTGTAGTTTTAATGAAATAAACACATCAGACTCCGCTTTTTATTTTAAAAAAAATTATGAAGTGTCAATTTTAAATAGAAATATATCATTATCTTAAACTAAAATACATTGTAAAGAGTTCGTATGATATGTAAAATTATTTTGGAATATCCATTAAAAAATCCAAAAATTTTTGAGAAGGGTCAGTTTGGATTGCCACTTATTTTCCCGCTATCAAATAAGTAATCATTTTTTCTTCTAATTTTAGAACTGCGGAATATAAAACCGATATAAGAAGGGGAAGAAAAAATACGAATATTTATAATTGAGATTAAATGAATATTTATATTACAACTAATCACATGATTGTGTCTAATCTTGCGGTTGTGCATGAAGTGCTAACGTATCAGCCTTAAGGCATGGATTTATTATCAAGCTGAATTAATTTTCGGATCAGATTTAATTCAATACCTACAAGCGACGCCATGTGTGAGTGTAGAATTTGATTGGCTGACTCTCACGTGAGGTAACTTACAGGTATCCAATTGAAAATATTTGACTTCAACGATAATAAAAAAAATTTAATTAAGTGAAATGTGACACTAGCCATAAATGTTTAAAAAAAATATAAGAAATAGAATAGATTGAAAAACTATTTTAAAGTTAATTTGACACTCAGCACAAAATTTTATTCTCCCAATGATTTACCCAAATTTAAAAAAATAATAATAATAAAAAACAATAGCAAAAGAAACATGATTATTAAAAATCATCCCAACAAATTTATGAAGTCGATAATTTTGATACACACAAAAGATATACAGGGCTTGATCAAAATAATGTTAACACTTTTATACTAACTCTATGTTAACACTCTTTCTTTTAGTAACATATGTTTTTGAAGATTTTACAAGGCGTAACTGTTAGCACAATTTGAAAGATCATGCTTGAAGCTTCAAATAATGGGGTCCTTTTTAACCATGCTAAATTTGCATTGACCAAAATAAGAATAGGAAGTTAATGGCTTCTTTCTTTTTTTAATGCCACAATAATGAAGAAAAAAAGCGCTCTTATATAAATATTAATAACCTATTGAATATTTTCAAAATTGTAGAAAGATTAAGCTAGAAAGAAGTTTTAAACTTCCAACGTCCATTTTGGTCGATGCGAATTTTACATGGGTAAAAAGAAAAAGGTCCCCATTTCTAAAAGCTTCACGCATGATTCATGATGCGCCAACAGTACTGACATATATACCATTTTTTAGAACATGGATTTTTCTTTAAAAAAAATAAATAAATAAATAAAAGACTGGTATGCTAACTATTTCATTGTTAGCATTTTTCTTGGATGAGCAGGGCAAACGTATCTAACTAAATTTTATACTTGGTTCTGAAATGTCACTTAGATTAAATATTTTTTTTTTACCCAATTGCTAGTTAAATAAAAAAAATATTCACATACTTTCAGCACACAATTTGAAGCATATTTTTTAAGAGCTTCAGTTATTAATACAAAATTTAAGTTCGTTGGGTTAGCGGTCAAAGTTGGCAGGTTCGCTATCCCCGAGGTGGGGTTTTAAGAGAAGTTCTAATAGGTATTTTGTGTTCTACCTACGAATGAGGAAACCAAAAGGTGTAGGCGTATCTTTTTCGTATAAAAACACTTTTTTAAAGAAAGCCTACATCAAATATAAGGTGGGTCACGGCTGGAAGTTTCGTAACAGAATTTGGAGCATCTTTCCTACGTTATAATTAAAACTCAAAATAATGAATAGAATTTTCGCTGCACTCAATTATAAGAACTATACTAGTGGGCAAAATAAGAGAGGTAAATAAATAAATAACTCTTTTTTTTTCAGGTCAGATTAAAATCTATTTCGTTATTTTTTATGCCCTTAAAAGAGGGTTTTCTTAGAAAAACATTCTCAACAAGACACAGGTTAAACAAAAATTTAAACCAATAATCTCAAAAAACAACGTTCCAAAAACGACATTATTTTGGGGCGTATAAACATTTTTAAATTAGCGAGAAATTAAAGTTTGAAACCCATCAAGTACCGAAGTTCGCATGCTGAAAGAAGTTATATGTTTCACAGGGCTGCCAACTTTCTACGCTTTTTGTAAAAATTTATTCTAGTGGTAACTAAGGTTATGTTTTAATTATTTTTAAGTTAACACGTTCACGCCGGGAAAAGTGAAAATACTGGTAGAAGAACTATTTCAATATTAGATAATATTCGGGAGGAGTTAATCTATTCTCAACAATAACAATTCACTGTAAGGAAATTTATTACGGCGAAAAAGCAATTCAATATAAAAATTGCATCTGTTAAAAACAATTGGTAGTTATGGATTTTTATTATTCCCGGAAAAAAACTAAAAAATGAAATTTATTGTTACCAGTTTTTACTCCGGTGCGCTGCCAAGATGAGACAATCTAGCGTGACCCACCGTTGGGTCACCCCGGCGTGAACGTGTTAATTATTTTTAACTTAGTTAAGCTTAGCTAAGTTTAATATTTTTTATTCATTTGAACTTATTTTCCACACCACTACATATAAACGATTTAAAAATTCATATGCAACGCCGCTTTGTTCCAGTTCTTTCGTAGGGCCTTACTGGCCGAGCGGTACTGCCCGCCAAACACAGTGTGAAGCGTGGAGGTGGCTGGTTCGATTCCCGCCGTACCCCTGAATGTATTCTTTGAGATGTCTTTCTACTTGTCAAAGGTTTATAAGCCTAAATTGAGCAAACAAGCCTGCAAATGTATGTTATTTCAATAAATTTATAAGCCAGCTCTTTCGCCGTGAGACTTTTAAAATGTTGGTGAAATAACCAAAAATTTTTAAACATTGGCTTGTAAATGTCTACCACTCTATAAAATATTTTGCAAAATGCGTAGTAGATGGCAGATCTTTTCTCGTTTAAGAAAAATATTAAATAAATAAAATATAATGACAATAAATGAACAAAACAGATAACTCAATTACTTTATTCAGAGAATTCAAATGGGGGGGGGAAGCAATTATTAACTTTCGTCATAACATATTAAAAATATGAGTCATTATTTCGGTCTGAAATAATATAAATTTTTTTTTCAAAAAAAGTGGTAACTAAGATTAGAAAATATCCACTTTGTTTAGTTGCTACCTCCTTAAAATCACCCACAAAAAGATGGATTTCTGTCCTCTCGACTGCGGCTGATATTTTAGTCTTAATCTCTTCAGACATGATGTGGTACGCCCCAAGCACGATTTGGAAATTGTTTTCAAGTGGTAGCTATATTTTGGAAATTGTTTTCAAGTGGTAGCTATGTTCTGAAAAATATGCCCACTTTTAAATATTAATATTTTCGTTTTGTTTCGTTTATTTTCGTTTATTGTGGCAGCAAAACTTTATAAGTGATTTTATAAAAGTAATTGGAACTTAAACATTATGAATTCTTAATTAGTCTTGACAAAAGTTCGCCACTCCTTAATTTTTCCTGGTTGTGGGTACCTTGTATTTGGTGAGGTTTCCTAATGCTAATGGATACCTTGGGTCTGAAGAAATTATACGAATCAAGATTTTTTTTAAAAAAGAGCCAAAACTGGTTGGAAAATCATTTTATTCTTGCTAGTTTTCGGGAAGTATAAAATATCCACGACTAACATAATTTTTTTAACAGTTACAACATGCAAATAATACTGTTTCTTAACCGAAAAAAGGGAAATATTGACGAATAGTGATTGCTTCTAAAAAAAATATATATAAAAAAAAAAAATAAAAATAAAAAATAAAAAAAAAAAGATAAATGCATAAAGCGCTTGATAAATACACTGGGTGCATTGCGAGTTGAGTTCGTTAATGACCAAAATTGATATAACTCATAAAAAAAATTTAAGTATCGTTATTAGATTGTGCACAATTAAGCGTAATCTAATAATAATATTAGATTGCGCTCTGTGTTTGTTAATGACCAAAGTAGATAAGGAATAACATACATATCTAAAAAATAATTAATGCTAGATTGCGAGCAATAGAGCGTGCTCTGAGTTCGCTACTGACCAAAATTAATAGAACTCATAAAATAATAATTATTATTAGATCGCGCACAATTAACTAAACGTAATCTAATATTGATTTCAATGGAATTCGAAAATACATGAAATCTAATATAATTCATAGAAAAACAAAAGTTTTATTACATAAATATCTTATAAGATCAATTTTAACATATGTTTGTGAAACCTGGACTATATCTTGTACGGATAAGGCTATGTTGGGTACCATTGAGAGAAAGGTCTTGGGAAGTATTTTTGGAGGAATTCAAAAAAAATTATGTGTGGATTAGAAGATAAAATCCAGAGCTTTATCACTCATATAATGAACCTGACATTATTAACTTTATTAAACGACGAAGAATAAAATGGGCAGGCCACGTTATCAAAATGGAAAAAAACCGTACCGCAAAAAGAGTTTTCAATGCCAGTCCAGTTGGCATACAAAAATGAGGCAGGCCGAATTTGAGATGGATAGATGGCCTAGAGAAAGACCTTTTGGTCTTAAAAACCAAAAATTAGAAAACACTAGCAAAAAAAAAGGTTAGC